CCAAAAAAAAAAAACCAAAAAAAAGAAGAAAAAAGAGATTATAAAATGTTTTAAAAAACGAAAGAAAACGGTCCCAGTGCTGTCCGTGCCCTTCACTGTTTCCTGCTTGTAGATCTTTATGTTTCCTGTCACTTAGTCCCAGATATACAGGCCTGTAGCTCCAGGTCTACTTTTTCAAAATTTGTCAATGGCGTTGTGAGTGACTCTTGACTTTGTTCATAAATCTCTCTTGTTCCAGGACAGAGGCCCCCCTTCATTGTTTTCCTTTACACTAACGGTTTTCCCCTTCCCTTCTCTATCAGTAGGTGGTTGGCTGGTACTCTGGTGTGGTTTTTCCTTTCTTTCTTGTCAAACATCTATCGTTCTGATCTCTCCTCCTTCTTTTTTGTGTTTGTTACTCTCTTGTAACACATGTAATCTCTGATGACCTGATTGAGTTGCAAGTGCCGTAAAACTCTTACTAAAACTGCAACTCTTTTCCTCCTTTCTGAGCTTGTTACTCTTGTGTAACACCTCTAATCTTCGCCACTTTAAAAGACTTATATAACCAGATTGTGTTGCAAGTGCCGTAAAACTCTTACTACAACAACCCCCCTCCTCCTTTTTTATGTTTGTTACGCTCTTTGTAGCACCTCTAATCTTCTGTACTTATACGACTTCACTGTGTTGCATGTGCCTTTAATCCCTCGTTAAAATAAATCTCCCCTTACAGTGCACTAACAGTTTTTCCCTCTTTCTCTCTCGTTCCAGAACACAGACACCCTCGAGCCAGGAGTTGTACGCCGAGAGTTACCCCCCCGGTCTACCACCAGCATGTCCGGTGGTGGCGCAGTTAGTGTCGCGCGCCCCCTGCCGGCCGGGCTTCTGGGTTCTACACGTCCTGTCTGCTGGACTGTCCTACTAAACACTCGCACACTAGGCACCACAGCTGGTCTTGTGACGTAACTCACCGTTTGTTGTGACGTCACTTCCTGCCTACAGTTTATGTAACGGGTGCCAAGAAAAAACCGAAAGGGTTTTTGTACTTGCATTTAACAAGGCTGGCTTCAAGCTCGACTGTTTGCAATTGTTTTTGTGTTTTTTTAGAGTTGTTTTATTTTCACAATATAGTTTTGTTAGACTATAGTAAAGAATTTTGTTTACCCTAGAGTATCCGCCAGTGCTACACAAGTGTTGCTTTGTTTGTCTTTGGTGGACAACTGGACTGTGTTCATTTGTGATTGTGTTTCTGTCTGTGAGGGAAACTAACTGGTGTTCGGGGATTGAAAGAGCTTCTCCGAGTCAGAAAAACAGACAGACGGGATAGATATAGATAGACAGACAAACGGACAAACGGAGAGATAGGTAGATAGAAAGAAAGAGGGACAGACGGAGCCGGAAAACACAAACATGTGGATTATTATTATAAGAACTTCCTTTCAACTTTGACGTGTTCTGGGATACTCGTACACACGTCATCATTCTCTGTGGATTACGTCACACAGACGCACCTCGGACTTCGGAGACGGGATATATTATAATTTCTGCACATTGAAGGAGTTGTTTGTGTGTTTGTAACCATGACAACCATGGAGGAGGACGACCTGGACTCCCTTCTGCCGCCCAACTGCCCCAACCCGTACTACGACACATGGGACCGGCACAACAGCATCGCCTTCTCCACGGCCACCAAGGGGCTGAGGAACGCGCCCGGGGAGAATAACTGTTTCGTCAACAGTGCCGTGCAGGTAAGGCAGATATTATAATATATATATATACATGTAGTTTAAATTATGCCTTCATACACACACATAATATATGCACCCATATACACATTCTTTCTTTCTCTCCCC